CACAACTGAAAATGTTAAGATCTTGAATCTTGAATGCTCAAAAAGTGGTAGATAAAGCAGCCATGTTAAAATTGAGTTCTTTCCCTATAAAAGATGAGAAGAAAAAATTAGTATGCAGTATTTGAATTGAAAAAATTCATTTAATAATCATGGAAAGTTGTTAACTAATGTTATCTAATGCAAAAAAAAATTGTACTAGGAAGAGAGTCAGTAATAGCCATTTAATTAAATTAAATATGAGATTAGAGTAAAAGTCAACCTAAGGTTTGTGTTAGGAATACTTAAGAGTAATTTTACATACATCAGATGCCAATAAATTTCAATTAATTTTTCTAATATTTCAGAATTAATGTACCATACTGATAAGATGTATACAAATTTGTGTGTTCATTTATTTAAGAATTTATTTACTAAGCACAGATTTTGTATAAAGCACTCTGCAGGCACTGAGGATACAGCAGCGACTTTGAAAATTACACAAGATGAAAAAGCTAACATGTAGCAGAGGTATCTGACCCAATTTGGGGGTAATGAATAGTTGTCCTTAGCAAGGCTATACTAATTATTTTGCTTGGAATCCTAAAATCAAAGATTAACCACACAAGATTTTAACCAGAAAATTTATGTAATCAGAGTCATGTTTTGAGGAGACAAGTTTATTTAGTTCTAGAAGTATGAGGGGTGAAAAATTGGTACAAGGGAGACCATTCACTAGTATGGTAAAGTAGATAAAAGAAGTGGTTGTGAAGCAATCAAAAAAGAAATGAGATTTGAAAATTATTTAGGAGGTTTATCAACCAGATGTGATTAGTTGACTGGTTTAGAAAAGATAAGGAAACAAGAGGTATCTGGTGTATGTAACTGAATAGAGGCTGGTGGTGTCTTTGGAATAGAGATTCCTGGAACAGGACTATATGGGAAGGGTTGCAATCTTTGAATTCATTTTGGACATATCAAATGCGCTGTGTCTTTCATATATTCAAGTGGACATGTCAAATAGGTGCTCCATACACAAAAGTGTAGCATGTAGTACAGAACTGCTCTGAGATATAAACTTGGGAGTGATTGGTGAATAGATAGAAACTAATAAGTTGGGTGTGGCTGAAAGGACTGAGAGAGAATTATGTGACAATAGATTGTTAATACCATTCTCAATGATCTCAATATCTAAAAGTAAATATAAGAAAACAACTGAACAGAATCTGAGAAAGAATAACTAGAAATGTCAGAGTTGGATAAGAAATGGTGGGGATGGGTAGGGTGGAGGAACATTCTTAGAGAAATCTAAAGATAATTTTTAGTAATAGAGTCTAATCAACATTTGAGTCTAATCAACATTTTATTTCATACCAACATTCTGATGTGAAATAAAAGAGTACTGTATTATATCCCTTGACTTTGATAACTTAGGGGTTATCTGGTGGTCTTCATAAACATTTCATAGAACTACATGTTAAGCATATTATCTGCTTTGGCATTTACTTATTAACTGAATTTTGTATTTTGATTCTAAAGAGAATGCTGAACCATACTTCAGGGTACTATTTATTATACATGTTCTCATCTCTGAGAATAACTATTTAAATTAAAAAGGACAGAACTAAGAGAAATCAGACGATGTTCTGTTTTCCTCTATTCTAATAGCTACCTGCCACTATATATTTTACTTTACTGAAACAGACACTTGCCCATATCCCTTTGACACACACCATTTCTTTGCACCAAGTCCACCAGGAATAACAGGGAGATAACACGCCCTCCTCCCTCCAGGGCAATCCTCCACCAGGTACTAATGAGAATTGGTAAATATTCCCTAAATACTCTCATGCCCTGCTCATCTAGGAAAAAAGTGTGATGCATGCCCTACATTGTTTCTCAGAGTTCCACAGCAGGACTGAACCCCAGTTGCCCCTGGTGTAATCTGCTCAATAACACACTTTTTTTTATGTCCTTTCTCTTTTAGCTAGGGTTCTCCAGAGAAACAGAACCAGATAAATACACACACACACACACACACACACACACACACACACACACACACAACACACACACACACACGAAATTGGCTCACATAATTATGTGGGCTGGCAAGTCTCCAGATCTTCAGGCCGAGTCAGGAAGCAAGAGACCAAAAAAAAAAAAAAAAACAAAACAAATTATTTAGTTTCATGCTAAGTTCAAAAACTTGAGAACCAGAATTGATGTCATTTCAGTCTGAAGGCCAGCAGGCTCAAGACCCAAGACGTTTCAGGTTAAGTCTAAAGGCCCCCAAAAGCCAGTGCTTTAACATACAGCCATCAGACAGGAGGAATTATTTCCTACTTGGGGGAGAGTCAGCTTTTTATTATTCTATTCAAACATTAAACTGATTAGATAAGACCCAGCTGCAATCAGCTTTATTAAGTCTTCAATTTGAATATTAATCTCCTCCAGGTTAAGAAGTACAAATTGGTTGTTAGAAAATAGTCACAAGAATGTAAGATACAGCATTGGTAATATAGTCAATTATATTGTGATAACAATGTATGGTGGTAGATAGGCACTGGCAATATCGGGGGAACACTTTGTAAATATATGATTGTCTAACCACTATTGTCTAACACTTTAAACCAATACGAAATAATATTGAAAGTAAACTGAATTAAAAATAAAAAAAATAAATATTGATCTCTTCCAAAAGTACTCGTACAGAAATACTTATAAAAATGTGTGGACAGCCCTAACCAGTTTGGCTCAGTGGATAGAGCATCGGCCTGCGGACTGAAAGGTCCCAGGTTAGATTCCAGTCAAGGGCATGTACCTTGGTTGCAGGCACATCCCCAGTAGAAGGTGTGCAGGAGGCAGCTGATTGATGTTTCTCTCTCATCGATGTTTCTAACTCTCTATCCCTCTCCTTTCCTCTCTGTAAAAAAATTAATAAAATATATTTTAAAAATGTGTGGATAAATATCTGGACATCCCATGATGCAGTCAAGTTGACACATAAAATTAACCATCATAGTCACCCCAATTAACACAATTTTATCTTCCAAAATAATTTTTCTAATCTTTCTTCTGCCACCTTTATTTCTAGAGATAAAGCTTTTTAATTTTACATTGTCAAAAGGAAATAAAATTTTGCTGTATGTATACATAGTCAAATTTCAAAAGACCATACACCTCAGTTTGTCCAGAATTATTCTGGCTCACAGCTCTTACCTTGCTTAGTTATTAATATGTTCCCTTCCCTTTTAAAAATGTTCTACTTTGAATAATAGTGTATGATCATTTGAGTCAGAAACTATGATAATAATTGAAAATTTAGTGAATTATATTTAATTTTTTATTATTTTATTCTACTAATCCTATTTAATAAAAGGCTAATATGCAAATTGACCAAACTGCTGGACAACCTGTCACTGTGATGCACACTGACCACCAGGGGGTGGATGCTCAATACAAGAGCTGCCCCATGGTGGTAAGTGTGCTCACACAGGGGGAGCGCAGCTTAGCCAGAAGCCCTGAGCCAGGCTCACTGCTGGGGAGCGCTGAGGCCGTGGCAGGAGTCTCTCCTGCCTCTGTGGCAGCGCTGATGTCTGACTGACAGCTTAGGCCGGCTCCCCACGAGGAGCCAGCCTAAGCCATCAGTCGGACATCCCCCGAGGGCTCCCAGACTGCAAGAGGGCGCAGGCTGGGCTGAGGGACCCCCCCTCCCAGTGCACACATTTTCATGCACAGGGCCTCTAGTTAAAATTATAATAAGTATGTGTCATAGTCTTCAAATTATTTTTCTTCCTGGGTAATTTTACACTGCAATTACTTACCATGATGTATATGGAATGCCTGTTTGTAACCTGGATATTATCATTGATTACCTTAAATGTATTTTCTTGTTTAAATGACTGAGAAAGAATAAGTTTAAAAAGTACAAATAATTTATAAGTGTAAGGTCTTTTACAGGATCATGCTTTATTTTTCTATATGTGACAAATCTGATTATTTTCCTGAAATAAGATTTTAATCTAAAATTTACACACTTGATTGATACTTATTTAATTAGCTTCTAAGTCATAGAATGTGTATAACTCCAAGGTAGTTCTGTTCTTCCATCACAACTAAGGCAATGATGAGAATAATTTTTGACTATCAGGAATTCTCAGAGCCTATATTGTTTATTGTGGAGACAAGAGGAGGAGGCAATTCCATGTTGACTGTGGGACACACAATGCGAGGATTTAGCAACCTCTCAGAAAGAAATGAGTGTTTACATTGTCTCCTTCCCTTAGCCTATTTTCCATGTCTTCCATCTTTGTGTTTACTAAAAAGTATTACAGGACATAAAGTTATAACTATAAATGTCTTAAAGTATTCTTGAATATTTTTTTCACTAGGGATGACTTTATTGCCTAATGGAATTAAGTAATTTTATAACAATTATATTTTAACATACACAACAAAAAGTTAACTTTTAGTATTATTCTTAGTAACTATGTCAAATGACTTGCTAACTGTACTTTAGAGCAAGCGACTTGTGCTGAGTACCAGATTACTGAATTTTCAAAAATATTCTGCATAATGCTGTGAGACAGTAGTTGATCTTGAGTTCTTTTTGACTTCCTTATTATGTTTTTGGTATTCCTGCAACAATGAATGGGTTGTTATTCAAATGCACATAAATGTGTTCAGTCCATAATAATGATATTCCTACCCATCTATAAATAGTTGAAGAAACAATTAGATGAAATGCTTGATATTCATCTGAACCAGTTTTTGCAATTTCACTTTTAAATTCATATTTCAGAAATATTACAGCAGTGGTGTTCAGGAGATATTCAGGTATTTTTGTTAGCTTTTCATGGACAGGATAGTAGCTTCTTAAAATGACATACTCTGTTTCACCAAATCTAAGAAATCCCTTTTAAAAAGACACCATTATAAGAAAGTGCATGAACATGCAGCATGATATACAATTTCTAAATGTATAGTTTACATACTTAATGACCTTTTCATTTTTTTTCCAGATACACCATCAGTTAAGATTATACCATCCACTCCTTTTCCACAAGAAGGACAGCCTTTAATTTTGACTTGTGAATCCAAAGGAAAACCACTGTAAGTGATTTAATGAGCAATGGCGTTTTTCACTTTTGCTTCTATTCTGCTTAGATTGCAGACTTTAACTACAGAAATCCACTGCTTTTGTCTTTTCTTGGTGGGCAAAGTGACCTCTAGACCAGAACCCCCTCCCCACAACCACGTCTTCATTAAGTGTCTGTGGATTGGTCTGTTTCTTTGTCATCTAGTGACGTTTCTGGGAAGGTTTCCAGCTGTGATTTTTCCCCCCAGGAAGATATTTCAACCTGAAAGAAGTGTAGGCTTAATCAGTCAGTGTTCATATCATCAGATTGATAACAGTTGCACATTGCTGAGCTTAGTTCTCCCATGAAAAATTTTGAAAATATTGAAGCATCGTCAAAATATGCCCAAGTTTTAAAGTTAGATAGGGAAGCATTTCCTTAATAAGAGAAATCAACTCTACATTTCTTATGTAGCAGCTCCACAACACATGGTTTGTGAATGTGATAATACTTGGAGGGAAGGTGAATGAAAGGGCTCATAAACTCAACATTTTCAATTGTAAACTATTTCATTATTAGAATATGAGTCCTAACATCCTTTCAACTCTAAAATTATACTTTTTAACATTCATGTTTTTAAACATAAAACTCTGAAAGTCTACTATTTCTACAAAAATCAAATCAGTATAGATTATCCAAATAAGGATTATTCAAAGATTATTTGAAAGCCATTTGATCATTTTAATATAGCAACACTCTAGGTGCAGAGATAAGTAATTTATTTGATTTTTTAAAACTTTCAATTGAGTTATATTTTGGTTTAAATATTAAGAAGAGGGATTTAATTATTTTCTGTATATAACTATATGGGAAACCTTTTGTGCAAAGTAAAATAATTACAATTGTTTTTCTAAGAATATTTGTTATTTAAGTGTAAATTACATAGTATCCATGAGAAATTTTTCTAAAAGAGTTTTAAGGCAGAAGTTTGAAATGTGAACATCCTCAATTGTATGATATTGTACTTTTTAACACATTAAGCATATTCATACTTTCTTACTTTAATATTTATTGTTGATAGTATTACAGATGTCCCCTTCCTTTTTTTTCTATTGACCCCCTCCACCAGGCACCTGCCCCTCCAAGACCTTCACCACAATATTGTCTGTGTGAGTTTAAGGCAGAAGTTTGAAATGTGAACATCCTCAATTGTATGATATTGTACTTTTTAACACATTAAGCATATTCATACTTTCTTACTTTAATATTTATTGTTGATAGTATTACAGATGTCCCCTTCCTTTTTTTTCTATTGACCCCCTCCACCAGGCACCTGCCCCTCCAAGACCTTCACCACAATATTGTCTGTGTCCATGAAATATGCATATCCTATACAATAAAAGGGTAATATGCAAATTGACCCTAATGGCAAAAAGACCTGGAATGACCGGTCTCTATGACGTGCACTGACCAACAGGGGGCAGATGCTCAATGCCAGAGCTGCCCCCTGGTGGTCAATTTACTTCCACAGGGGGAGCACCACTCAGCCAGAAGCCAGCTCATGGCTGGCCAGTGCAGCACTAAGGATGTTCAACTAATGGGCTATTGGGCTGCCAGAGGGATGTCTGACTGCCAGCTTAAGCCCAATCCCTCGGGGAGCAGGTGGACATCCCCCAAGGGCTCCTGGACTGCAAGAGGGTGCAGGCCGGGCTGAGGGACCCCCCTCCCAGTGCATGCATTTTCGTGCACAGGGCCTCTAGTATGCATATAAGTTTCCTGATTTCCACCCACTACCCTCCCCCACCTTCCCTCTGATATTCATCTGTCTTTTCCATGGTTCTATGTCTCTGGGTATATTTTATGCATCAGTTTATTTTGTTGATTAGATTCCACATATGAGTGAGATCATGTGATACTTATCTGGCTTATTTCACTTAGCATAATGCTCTCCAGGTCCATCCATGCTGTTGCAAGTGGTAAGAGTTCCTTCTTTTTTACCACTATATAATATTCCATTGTGTAAATGTACCACAGCTTTTTTATCCACTCATCTGCTGATAGGTATTTGGGCTGTTTCTAAATCTTAGCTATCATAAATTGTGCTGCTATGAACGTAGGGGGGTTTCAGGTTTCTTAGGATATATTCCTAGAAGTGGTATCACTGGGTCAAATGGTAGTTCTATTTTTAATATTTTGAGGAAACTCCATACTGTTTTTCATAGTGGCTACCCCAGTCTGCATTCCCACCAGCACTATACTAGGGTTCCCTTTTCTCCACATCCCCACCAACGTATGTTGTTTGTTGATTTGTTGATGATAGCTATTCTGACTTTATTACAGTTTTGGTATTTTAAAACTGCTTTCATTCAGTAATTATTTCCTAGAGATGTAAACATGCAGATTTAAAGAACATATTGTGAATTAGTATATCAATTTGTTTTATATCTTTAAAAAAAAACACATTTTTCTGAGTAGCTTTACTGGATATACCCTGCACAATTCACTTTAGTAGTTCTTACCTTCTGATAAGATTAAATTGCTTATATAAAACATTTTTCTTCTACAGTATGCTATCAAATGTGGCAGTGCATTCTAGTATTAAAGTTTCAACAAAAGCTTTTGGCTACAAGTTGAATACTTTAAATAGGGAAAGAAGTATAGTAGACCCTAGTCAGCTTTACACATATTTAAATCCTAATCTATTTACTGCTGAACCTGTGTACCTAACACCAGAAAATTCCCCACTCTCCCTCCCATCTTCACTCCTGTTCCTTCCATGTATTATTTTCTGACTCTGTCTGTTCCCCTTCCTTCTCTTTTTTTATGCTTCTGTTTTGTTTGTTTGTTTCCATTCTCCCTTACAACCTCAGAGGTCAGCATATTGAGATATGAAGGAACATGATCAAGATCCCGGTATAGCAAAGGATTTATGATTTTAACTTCTCTCTATAGTTCTGCCCCCAAGTACATGTATGTACACTTGGAGAAAATATACAATTTATGCAATTAAATGAGGTAAGGATGGGAAATATAGTATTCAGAACGCTTGGAAATAAATACATCCCTGTTCAAACAGCATCCAATTACCTGTCAATGATCTACTCTTTGACTCAATATTCAATCTGCACAGTAGAAACAGCATTTCATGTGAATAATGAGATTGTGAGGTCGATGTAATTAGATATGTTAAGTAGTTCATTTCCATTAGCTGAGCTGTGGTTGGATGGATGCGCATATTGAGGGTCTCTTTCAGCAACCTGGAAATAAGGTTGTCTGTGTAACCCTCTTCTGCACTGCAAATGAACGAAAAGTATAATCATCTTTCATTTATGTATTTATGTAAAGAATACAAAGACTCCAGAAGTTTAGAAAATAAAAAATGTTTTGTTTCTCAGAAAGATCCTGATTAATATTACTTTGCAAATAGGTGAAATAAATAAGAAACTCTCCTTATTTTACATAGGAGAAAACCAAATCTCACCAAATGTAAACCAAATTTTCTTGATTCATCCAAATTTAAAATGGATGAGTTAGGATTTAAACCTAGTTCAGTCATTGTCCAAAGTTCATATTCTTTCAGCTATTTTCTGCTACTTCCATTGCTGAGTCTAAATTGTCAGTTATGTTATCCAAAGTAACTTTTGAAAAACGAGGATGTACAATAATGTTCAGCACTGCAGTTCAACCCACAGAAGCTTGAAGGTGAAGAAGTAGCCAGTCTCAAGACACATTTACTCTTGCCATCCTCTTTTATCAGACTTTCTTCTGTATTTATCCCCTTTTTTCAAAACTTGCCAAATTCCTACCAACCTGACTGTTTCTAGTATGAGCTTACAGCCATATATAAAAAATAAAAACCAACTCTAATTAGTAGAGTATCGCCTGGCAATTAACTCATAAGCTCCACTCCACAGGGCTAAAATTATCATTCTGTTTTGTCTTTATCCTCATAGGTTCCAATGTTGTGTTCTATAAGCTGTGTTACAGAAGTAAATGTGTATAAAGTTATTTTCTTATATAGTATTCTCATTCCCAACTTCATTTTTACCCTTTGCTTCCCTTGTAATCTGCCAGGCCATTGATATTAAAGGTATTGCCAACATTCCTTGCTGCCTTTAGATGATTGGTTTACTTATGTCCTTCCTAATATTCTTAAAATTCACTCTTCTGAGTTTCAAAGTAACTATCACTTCCAATAAATGTAGGCATTAACTCCTTTAAAGACAGTCTAATTTCTACCCTCTCTTTAGTTTATATTGTATCTCCAACAGTGCCAGATGAGGCAGATAGGACAAAAAACAAGGGGAGATTGAAAAGAAACCATTGGATTTTCCCAGAAGGAAATCTTAGTGATCATAAAGAAAATAGTCTCACTAGAACAGAGAAAACAGAAGGCAAATTGAAATGGATTAATCAGGGAAATAGTCGGTGGTGGTGAAGCAAAGATAATGGGAGGATCACCCATTTTAGAAAGTGAATAAAAAAATGGAAGAGAAATAAGGAAATAAATTTATATCAAACAGAAGTTATAAAATAAGTAATAATATAAAGACTGTTCATATTCCAAGATATGGTCAAAAAAGCCTAAAAAGTATGGGAGTAAAAATGAAAGATGTGACATCACAATACCTAAAGGCCAGGTTCCAGTTTACTATTTTACTGCCAAATTTCCACTCCATTACCTTGGAACTATTACACCTGACTCCCCATTTTGTTATCGTGGAAACACTGAGAAGCAACATTGTGGTTCAGCTTCTGACTGGCTACTAAAACACTTGATTTCTACTATCTTTCCACTTACTTGATCCACCTTTAATGAGCAGGTGGGAATCAGAAATAGATAATGGATATATGATGCTTTACATCTCGTAGCTGACTTAAATAATATTTTTAATCCATGACCAAATGTTTATGATTCCTTTCAAAATGTTTGACCGATTTATGATTTCCTCAAGGGTGAGTTATTCATGGTTACAATCTTTTGTTTAAATCACAGATGATAGCGTGGCTCATTCAACTTGTGCTGATTCTCAT